TCCTTCAGACCAATGTATGTGCTGCAGAGAAAATGAGCATGTTGACAGCTACCAAGACCTTTAGTTTGTTTTCAGTGTGACACTCACCTCCTTGGCTGTATTCCACTAATAATGTATTTTAGTTTTGTAAGTATCAATCTGCTTTTGATTTTGTGAATTCTCGTCCTCCCAGCAACATTGCAAGTTACCATTTAAATGAACAGTGAACAGGCAGAACCAACTGGTAAATAACTGATTAATTTATGGTCCAACAGACTGATTTTTCTGTTTCTCATTTACTAACATATGAAAGCTACTGGAGTCAGTGTGTGCACACATGGGTGTTTTCAGCACCCATGAAGGTCCTTATAGTGGCAAGCATCTGAGAAGGGACAAGGTGTTAGTTTGTGCCACAGTGGCTCTTACTTACTGACTGTGTTGATTTCCAAGGCCCGGAAGATCAGGAAGTCAGACTGTTGTTTCCGCAGTTCGTTTTTCAGGGTCCAGGCCACCTCTCGCCCCTTGAATATCTGGTGGGGGGGCTGGTTCTGCACAAAAAACACCATCTTCGTGCTGCAAGTCAGAGAAAAATTATCACCTGCTGCTTCTCCAAACATCAGATTTGAAGTCGTTCTCCCCAGTCTGCCTTTAGAGGGAGTTATTCAGAATAATCTCTGGTCTTTTGTAACACTTCCCACTCTTCTCTACTTAAGCACGTAAACAGATGAAGCATTCATTACAAGAATCCCTTACCTGCCCTACTCAGTGAAGAACAGTGGCAACTGGCCTGGTCATGGCAGAGATATAAATGTAGTATTAGAACAAAAAGTGCTGGCTTTTCTCTTCTGAGCTCTTCAGGTTTGCATGGACGATGAATTCTGATTTCACTGCCACAGCAGGCAAGGTGGACATGAAGGAATCAAAACACTTTCCTGAGGTCAGTAACGTTCAGTGTAACTGCAGATTTATTGCTGACTTGCTGCATGGCTTTAAGCATGTCCCTTAAATCTTTTTCAGTGCTTTGTCTACCTTAAAGCTACTCCACTTCTACTAAAAAATAGATTGCCCCTCTACCCTTGATTAGCTTGTTGCCATGCCACTCACATGCGTGTTCAGGCGTCCTCAAACACACCTATAGCAACAAGGGGTGCTGTGGGTACAGAGACGTGCAGCTGTTGCTGTGACAACGCAGGAAATGCAGAAAAGATAATCTAAAACTACAAAGCTGGCAAGCAATTCCAGCAACCCCCCTTGGTGTGCCCCCAGACAAGCCCTACCTTTGTTCAGTGTATGGCTGGATCTTCTGCACAGTGATGTCTGAGTCGAGCACCCCCAGCAGGACGCCTATTTGTCGGATGAACATTCCCTTCTGCCTCTCCGTCAGCTGGCTGACATTAACATCCAGAATTATCTCCACAAGGTTATTTTTCCTAGGATCTAGTGAGAATGTAGGTAATATAGATCTTGAGAAATTCTATTTAGCAGTCTGGGTACAAATCAGGTTTCTAGTAGCTTTCCAGACTGTTTCTGCTTTGAACAGAAAAGGACTGAATGGTGATGCAGCACAAACCCCAGACTCACCAGGTTTGACTTCCACTGTGCTCCTTTCTACATCACTCTCTCCTTTGGCATCTGTTACTCTGAGGTGGAATGTGTAGGTCCCTTCTACCAGATTGGACAGGAGAAGGACAGGGTGATGGTCTGAATTATTTAAGACCTCCTGGAAGGCAGAGCAAAGTAAGTATCAGGAAACAAAGGATCGGAGTAGCACGATACATCATCATACTTGAGGATATCATTACAAGGCTGCAGGTGCAACAATAAGCTTTACATCTCCTCAACACCACCTCTCACTGACTTTTGTGATGCTCAATGCTGCCACTGAGAAAAGAACCCTCACCCCAGCTGCAGGGCTGCCCTCATCCCGTGTCCACAAGTAGCTGACAATTCCCTTATCATCAGAGGACTTGGACCCATCCAGCTCCGCTGTATTTGTGGGCAAGGTGATGACAACATTACCAGCAATCTTTGCAACTGGTGGCTTGTTGATCTCTAAACAAACAGAAAAATAAAGTAGTTGGAGAAAAATCTGGTAACACCCAATCAAAAACTGCATTAGATCTCCACTGAAACCCAGAAATCCCTGGGGGAAGAGAAGCAAGACGAGGTACTGCAGGATTTAGCTGAAGATACTGCTCCCTCAGAAAAGGGAAGAGCCCTGACTTAGAGAAGGCCATCCCAGAGCTCTCCACATCATTTTTCACCCAGTCCTTAATTCTCACTCTGCTTCTGAACATAGGTTTTGCTGAACTGCTCAGTGATGCCTCAGACTGTTCTGCTCAGGGCTGGACATACCTTCTTTGACAATGACGTTGACTGAGCTTTGGCTCTGCAAGTTCCTCTCATCTTTAACTGTCAGAGTGAACTCATAGGTCCCAACCTGGAGCCCTGTTACAGTGGCAATGCTGCTGTTGGCATTCTCCAGCTTGACACCATCTGGGCCCCTAAGCAAAGCACAAGAGGATCAGGTTAAACCTTGTGAAGATGACAGGAGCTCCCACCAACCAGAGGCTCAAGCAGCGCTCATGGGGATGCCAACAGCCAGATGCCAGGAAATACAGAGTCCTTGGCAAACAGCAAAATTCTATTCTCCAGTTACAGCAAGATAATAAAAAAAGAGCAGCATTCAGAACAAAAAAGCACAGTTTGTGGTGGTTTAGTGTTTTGGTTATTTCTAAACCAGGGAAGCACTGATATCATTTAAGTAGGGTCTACAAAAAGTGATACTTGCAGCAAAATTGGCTTGTGAAATGCACAATAAGCTAATTTATTTTTTTTCCTAAGAAAAGGTATAGAGCAAAAATAGTCCCTTCATTTATTAGAGCTTGGCACACACTTTGCATTAGCAAACAGAAAAAGCTACTGCAAGTTGCTCACAGGCTTTTTCCTGACTTCCCTAAAGCACTTCAGGGAATTGAAGAGTCTGTAGGGAAGCATGGCAATGAGAAGAGCCCTGCCTGATTCAAACATACTGCAGAACCATCAAGCTAGAAGGTCCTGCTACTCTTTGATTACACGAGTCAGTCTCTCTGTAAGAGCAAGACCATGTCACACTGCCATGAATCCAACACAAGCCACAACCACGCTGAGAAAGGGAATCAGGCCTCAAGATAAAGGTAAAGCTATTTCTTATACTCAAGCAAAACTCCACCTCCCTCCAATTAAACATATATCCTTGTCACTGGCAAAGCTTGTCAGGCCAAATATGACCAGGGTTTAGCACGAGGGAAGGATGTGGGAGGGTGTCTTGTTTTCACTAAAAGGCCCAGATACTTGCACAAGGACAGCCTGGAAGATGAGACACACCGTGTTTTTTCCCAAAGAAAGGAGACTATCTTCTGGTCATCTGAGCTCTTGCTGCCATCTAGAGTGGTGCTGTCCACAGGAAGAGTTAATTCTTTATCTGGACCAGCATCTGCCTTTGGAGGCTTATTATTCTCTGAAAAAGGATGCAATATTTTTCAAGTACATGTCATGAAATGTGGAGCTGAAAACCCCAGCACAGAGAATTTTCTCCATGATCCCTAGCATATTTCTTGCCCACTATCCCAACTTTCTATGTAGAGAAGGTGAGGCTAAAAGCAGTTGAGATCAGTGTTTCATTCACACATCTGCAATAAAATGAGAAAATCTAGGAGTTCTGATTTTTGTACTCATTCCTTAAGTACTACTCCACTTGCCCTGCTCTTGTCCCAGGACCTGGCACTGTGGGCAGAGACAGTTGCTTGGAAATACAATCCTGCCATTATGACAGGATAATGATAATTAAACTACACTGTGTAAAATAAGAGAGCAGCCTAGAAAGGCAGCATTCCTAGAAACTTTTGTTTATTTACCAGCAATACACCAGCCCAGAATTAGAGCAGCTTTTCTGAAAGCAGCACAAAGCTCCCTTAAAATCTAGGGTATGCTGACAGGTTGATCATAGCATCATGGAATGGTTTGGGTTGGAATGGACCTTAAAGATCATCTATTTCCAACCCCCCTGGCATGGGCAGGGACACCTCTCACTAGACCAGGCTGCTCCAAGCCCCATCCAACCTGCCCTTGGACACTTCCAGGGATAGGGCTTCCACAATATCCCTAGGCAACCTGGGCCAAGGTCTCACCACCCTCACACTCAAGAATTTCCTCCTAATGTCTCACCTAAATCCCCTCTTCCAGTTTTGAAACTGATGCTCACCTCTAAGCCTTAGATTGGAAGTGGAAAAGCAGCTAAAGACAGCTTACCTGGCTGGACTATCACAGTGACCTCTGCAGTGGACTGGTGTCCAGCAGAATCAGTCACAATCAGCTGATAAGTGTAATCACCTTCTTGCATTGCAGAGAGCTGCAAGACTGGTGTCCTCACCCCCTTGGAGAAAACATACTTGTATTAAAAAGAATCTTTACACAGATGATGACAGACCAGGCGGCTTCTAAAATAACTATTATCAGCAGATTCAAGGAGCTTATTACAAACTCCTGCCATGGGGCCAGGCATCTGTGCCACTTAAGCATGCAAGGCATCTCCAGCTCAATTTATGCCCAGCACAAGGACACTGCTGTGGAACGTAACAAGAATAATGCCACAGATTTGTTCAGACCAGACCCCCTGAGATTCCACAGGCAGCAACTTAAGCAAAACCTCTGGGGAGCCCTGTGCAAATCATGCACATTGTGAACCTGATTAATGGGCCTTCTTATTCCAGAAATTTGACAGTAGTAATAATCTCTAAAAGAAAAATGATGACATAGAAATAAGTTCCAGCTTTTACTGTTTAGGATTGAGTGTCTGGCCAGTGTCAGCAAAGTTCAACACAAGGGATCCAGTCCTTTGTGTTTGCCCAGCTGAGGACACACATGACCTGCCACAATGGGCCACCCTGTGCATCTACATGCCATCCTTACTGATAGTCACTTAAAAGGTCACACAGTCTGGCCTCCAGACCTGCTGACAGCACTTAATCATCCCTACCATTCCATCATCGATTTAGCTATCACTGATGTTCTGAGAAGTCAGCAGCTGAACAGAGACAGAACACAGCTCACTTGCAGCCACAGAGGTTAAAGTGAGACACATGGGTTCAGCTGAGACATATTTTATGGGACATCAGAATCTCAAGCCATCAAGCTCCCATCTCTCTCAATCCTCCATTCCTCAGCAGTATTTAAAACTGCATTGCTCAAGAAAGGAAACTGGATGCCAGTGAAAACCTGTGGCTAGACTGGTGCACCAGATCAGCCACCAAGTCAACACCAGCTCATGGGGATTTAGTTTTAGGTATATATTTGATCATCATATGCACTGACCTGCATCTCCATCACCTTCCCTTTACTGTTGGGGCTGAGCAGCCACTCGTAGCTGACGATGCTGTGGTCATCGGTGCTCTGGTTCCCATAGAGGGTGATGGAGTTCTGGGGCAGGGTGATCACCTGGTTTGGGCCAGCATTTGCCACTGGAGGATAATCCACAGCTTTGTTCACTGTCAAGTTGGCAGTGGTGGAGTTGCTTGCACCATCTGAGTCCACTACTGTGAGACTGAGGAGGGGAACGAACAAGTGAATGTAGTGAGGAGCTGTGATTATCACAGCTGGTACCAAACATGAGCTGGAGTTAACTGAAACATGTAAGAAGGGTTAGAAGCTTAAGACACTTTTAAGGACAGAATAGTTATTTTTTTTCAGGAGTGAAAAAAACCCCAGTGGTTTGAGGCAACTGTGCTTTTTCTGAAACTTCCCCCAAATTCCCAGTTCTCAGAGCAATGCAAGAAATTTAACAGTCATGTCCATCTCTCTCTGGAAATCCACCAACTATTTCCAAAATAAAACTGTGCTAGTGAAAGATCATCAGCTTTCACATCACAGCTGTGATGGAGACCTCCCAAGTCCAACACTGCCTCCCAACAGGGGACATTCATTAACATGGACCCAGAATGTGATTACTAACTCACAAGAGGTCTGGCCTCTGCAGGTAAGCTAGTACCTGCAGAAAGCAAAATAGAACTGATTTTTCTAAATCTAGATCTGAACATTAGTCTGATTAGTTGATATATCAATTGCTTAAGAAACAGTGTTCAGTCATAGGCAGTCAGGTTTATTTTAAATAGATCTGCTGATGCAGTGCATGGACACCACACCAAATTGCAGATCCAAGGACAAAAATACAAAGTAAGAAGTAAAATCAGCTCCTGTCTGTTACTCAGGTACGTGCAGAAAACCATCAGGCCTCATCCACTTATCTGGGACAAACACATTGCATTGAAAAGCTGGATTTGAAGACTGCACTTCTTTCTAAGCCTTTACCCAAACAGTTTTGACATTTCAAGAGACATTTTGTAGAGCTGGCAGACCATCCATTCCTTTCTGCCATCATCTCAAATCAGTGCTACAATTTCATAATGAAAAGTAGCTGGATAGCTTATCTCTTCTGAAGTGAAAAGCTCTGAAACTACCTGCAAGTGCAGAAGTGCAGAGAGTACACCTCAAAAGAAAGAGTTCTCTCCCTGTTTTTCTGAAACCAGACTAACACTTCAGCAATATTTCAGGTTCTACTCTTAAGGGATGAGAACTGATCAACTCTTCCAGATGTAACCTACCTGAATGTGTAATTCCCAGGTACCAGGTTGGTCAGTGTCAGGACGGGAGTGTCGCTGGAAACCTTCTCCTCCCGCAAAGGGCCCCTCAGCTCTTCCCAGTGATAGCTGACAATTTTATCATCATCAGTGCTCTCTGGTTCAATTACAGAAGAAAAGGCACATACAAGGAGTTAGAAAACACTGCCTCACAACCCCCAGATGCCCTCACTTCAGTGCTGGGCTTAGTGAGCAAAGGCATTTTTGGGCCAAGCCCAGAGGTCTCTGATGCTCAGACACCCACACTGTATGCTCTCTGCTATCCTCTTGCACAGGTACCTCAACCACCCTTAGTCCCAGGTTTGTATGTGTGCTGGGGAAAGATAAAAAACCCCAAAACAAAACACTAACAAAATAATAGTAGCTGGGGGTAAGACAGCCTGACCATATTTAAAGAAAGTCCTGAGAAGCTCTAGTGCAGGCCAGGATCAGTCAAGGTGGTATCTCAGGCAACAAACATGTTTGAAGCTTCATGCAAAAGGCCAGAAATTTTGACTGACAGTAATTTTTTTTATTCTAAGCAGCAACCTCTAAAGCTTTTCCTTTTTTAGGAGACTGGTTCAGGCCAGTGCCCTTCCAAAGGAAACATGGAGAGGTGCTGCTGTGTGTGTTTTCCCCTCTCCTGGCTCAAGAAGCTGATTCATTTCACTGAAGTGTTTCTGATAGTGTCACAGACAGTTCCTCTCAGACTTTATCCAAAGGGCCAGCCCAGAAGCAAACACAGAAACTAGGCATGCTGGACAAGTGGGTTTGAAACAGCAGGTACTCACGGCTGCCATCAATAACAGTGGAAATGGTTGGCAGTGAGATCTCCTGGAACTGGGGGGACACGATGGCAACAGGAGGCCGGTTGACCCGAGGCTCTGCAAAAACAACCAAACTGTTACAACATCACCTGCAGGCAAATCACCACAGAAAGCCCTGGCCAAGGAACCCTGCAAATCCACTCTGTCTTGGAGCAACAGGAGTAGCAAGTAGAACTCATACTGTGCATCCTCCTCCTCATCCTCTCCAACCCCATCCACCCCCCAGCCCTTCAGACAGTGAGTCCAAAATGTGGCACTTCTGTGACACAGCTCCAAGACAGCCCAACATCCCAACTGCTGGACACTGCACAACCAGGGACTGGTGCTTTCAGCAGGTTACACACTAATGCAGGTGCTAACAAGAGGGGTTTGAAAAGGAAAGAGGTGAACTGCCAGGGCTTGTAGTGACAGGACAAGGGGTAATGAATTAAAACTGGAGGATGGGAGATTTTGGTGGGACATTAGAAGGAAATTCTTAAGTGTAAGGGTGGTGAGACCCTGGACCAGGTTGGCCAGGGAAGCTGTGGCTGCCCCATCCCTGGCAGTGTTGAAGGGCAGGTTGGATGGGGCTTGGAGCAACCTGGGCTGGTGGGAGGTGTTCCTGCCCATGCAGGGGGGTTGAATTTAGATGATCTTGAAGGTTGCTTCCAACTCAAACCACTCCATGACTCTAAGTGCTCTGGAAATGCCTGCACTGCTTCAGTTCTCCCATACTGGGTCAAACATTCAGGCACAGACCATTCCAACAGAGCAGCACCTAGAGCTTCTTGCCAAAGTTTGGCTGCTGCTCTGAAAAATGAGTGATTTTGATGCACGTTGCCAGCTGCAGATTCACTGCTTATAAGGAAATGATCAGCAACAGCATCCAGAAGGCCAGCTTCACACTCTAATTTAGGGAGTGCAAGAGTACTTCCTTGCCCACAAAGGTTATAGAAAAGGTTTTGCTGAAGTGTGCAAAGTAAAGGGTTTTTTTGCATAAAAGGAGATGCAGAAGTCGTGGACCTGGGGAGACAACACAAGCTACTGTATCTACACCAGCTCATCTGCAAACTATGTCTTACAGTAGGGAATAAGATTTGACTCAATCTTCCTGTGATTGGGAATGATATCCTTTACTGGACAAGGAAGAAAAGAACCTCCAAAGGAGCTTCAAAGCTCTGGCTTCCCTTCATTTTTTGCTCCTGTTGCTATAAGCTTTTTACCCAGTTTCAGCTGGCTTTTAGAGGCAGTGGCCTTCCAGGCTGAGGCACTTGCTAAGCACTTTGGTACGAGTGTTCCAGCTCTTTCACTGCACGGTTGGCTTGTATGCAGTACAGCAGAAACAGCCTCAGCTTCAGAGCTCAGGAAATGCCTTAACACACATTCATGTACACTGGGTTCACAGCACAGGCCATTTTCACTACGTAAAACGAGGGTTCAGTCAAATAAGCAAAACACCTCAGTACAGGTGTCAGAGCCAGATGAAGTGAAGGAAAGACAGAATTCCACCAACTCACTGGGATTCACAGTGACGTTCACATAACCCTCTCCACGGGCGTTCTCCCCATCCACCACCACCTTGAACTCGTACAGACCAACAGTGAGCTGGAAGTAAATGCAAAAAATTATTGACCTTCAGGATGGCAGCCCCTTGTCAGGAGCTATCAGAGGTCAGGTTACCAGGCTTTGGCACCGTTGCACATTAGCAACATAAAACAGAGGCAGGTCTGCTTCAACCTACGCACAAAGAATGGCTTCCATGCCAAAATGGTGTTACATCTCTTACTTTACAATGACTATGCAGAAACTAAAGACTAATATTATTTTCTACCACAGGGTTGTCAGTGAAGCTTTATTTTCTAGCCACAACAGGCAAACCAAAAAGAGAGAGAGCACAGATTAGTTCAGGTTGTCTGGCCACAGAAATCTGTACGAGCAGACTGCATTTGACATGAGAAAGGCTGCACGCATGAGAAGAAAATCTCTTCTTCTGTGTTTTTACAAAGGGAAGTATTTATTCTCCTCCTTGACACAAGACAAGCAATCACCCCTTCATCATTCACTGTAGAAACCAGATGAAGGTGAAGAAGTAGGTGCTGGACAACACCTACAGTACCCAGAAGGCTGAAACCCTGGCAGAGCAGACACACTCCTCATAAAGGGCTTTGCTCTGCATATCTTGAATAGAGCCTGTAGATTTTTTTTCTAAGTGCAGCAGAACCCAATATGTACAAAGGAATATCTCAAATACAGAGCTGTACATTCACACAATATTTAAAGCCATTCCCTTGTTAAGAATCCCCACATGCAGAAGCCACCAATCCTTTTGGAGTTAAGAGCTTGTCCAAAAGCAGCAGCCAGGGACCAGCCACGAGGTGCTCCACAGCTCTCACTACTGGAACCAGAAAGTGCCTTTTCCAGTGGGCAGAACAAGCTTCAGACCTGAACAGCCCTCTGTACTGCTCCTGAAGCAGAAACACCCACAACACTGAATTGTGCCAGTTGTGTGGCTTGACACACTGCTTGTAGGCAGCTTTCAGATCCAGAAAGCCATTTCCTCTTTCCCTCATGCCAGATCAACCTCCTTTTCACAAGAGACCTAGAGGAGGCCTTGCAGTCAAATGTTGGCTGCCTGCCCATCATTCAATTTCCTATTCATCCCAGAATCACATACAAGTCTTTCCTGCTTGTCAGGGTCTCCATCTTCTCCACTGGGCATTTAACACAGGATACAAAGCAGCAAAAGCTTTACCTTAGATAACTTAAGGGTCTGAGAGTGTTTCCCTTCCATTTCCCCACTGTAGTCTTTTGGATGAGTAATCAATTCCCACTCATAGGAATAAGTGGTTCCTTAAAAAATAAATAAAAAAAAAGGTCCAGATGTTAGTTTTTAAAAGACTGCCTTCCAGGCATGCTAAGGAAAGCAAAGGTATTAAACATTTACAAGACACATTCTGCTGCATTATAGGGAAATGAGACAGCTTGGAATTTGGGCTGCAGCTTTTTGGGAATATACCCAAGAAAAGAGACAATCTGCTTCTAAACTCATTTACTCTAGAGCCAAAAACCATCTTTCAGCCTCTAAGGCATTAAAGAGCTTTGGAACAATCACAGCTCCAGGATAATAAGAGAGAAAAATTGTGCCTTCAGATCCTGCAGACACAACATAATGCCAGTTTCTGAAGAGGAATGCAGCTCATCTACCCACGTTGCTGCCTAACACTTGCCTCTCCTCTGCAGTCTCCCACTGTGGACAGATGATGGACTAGGTACAAATACCTGTGAACAATCTGCATGATGAAATGAGGAATGTAAAGAAATGTGCTCCTCAGCACAGCAACCCCCCAAATCAAATTTCAATCCACCAAATGACAGATCAGGTGTTAAGACAGCTTGTCAGCAACAATCCTAAACAGCTGCTGAAGATCCACTGCTGCCTCACACACCACTTTGACAACCTGCCTAATGACCCTGTAGCACTTCTAATGGTTTTGGTGTTTTGCTGTTTTCCGCAAGAGGCAGCACAGGATGAAAAATTTCTACAGAGAGTAGTAGTAGCTTGTCAGTGTTCTCTGACAAAAATCCTTTTCAAGAAGGCCCTTGTACATCATGCCTATTTGCCATTCCCCATCAGAAGCTCCTAGCAGAATTCCCAGGGAAGCCTTACGAGGTGGAGGCTCAGGAAGCACAAACGCATTCAGCTGAACTTCATTCTTTGGCAGGGTCACTTCCACGCTGTCTCCAGCAGAAACCACCAGCTCCTTCATAACTGAGAGGGAGAAACAGGGAATTGAAAGAGGAACAGGGAAAACAATTAAATACGAACATTAAAACCGCCTTGGCTTCAGAGTCTGTGGAATAAAAACCAGCTATAAGTGGCTGTGTTTCATAAACATCCTGTCCCTCAGACAGCTCCCGCCTCAGGTTTCGCTCTCCTTGTTAGCGCAAAGGCACTAATGGGGTTTTACAATTTTAAAACTAGCCTGAAATGACTCAATCATCTCTCTCTCTGCAGATCCTCTGCAGCTCCTGCTCCTTTTCTAAAGAGTTGAAATGTGACCCTCGGGCCCTGCAGAGGGGAACCTATTCACCCAGGTCCAGCAGGACAGGAGGGGTTTTACCCGACAGGTTTTCAGCAGCGAATCCAGCTGCAGCCTCATGGCACAGCAAGACAAACAGCTACTTACCAAACTGCAATTCTAGATCTTCACAAATACATGAAGAATCCATGGTATTTCTTTTTAAAAAAAATTGCTTGAGGGCTAAGAGATTTTTTTTTTAAGCTGCATAGCTACCTCACTGAGGATGGAAACTCAAAATACAACCTGTTCTCTTTATTTGTATTTTCTTTTTCCCTGCTGAAGAATTTTGTTGCCATTCCATTTCAAATAAATTGACAGGCAGCTTGTTTTTAAAGACTAAAGAGTAAAACTATAGCCAGTGATGTGTTTTTCTGCTTGTTATTAGCATTTAAGTGATCAGAAATCTAACTGAAGTTTCTTAAAAGTACTTCAGACTCCTCATCTTCCTCCTCCCTTCTCAGTATCTCTTTATTTTTGGGCCTGGGAATTATGCATAGAAAATGAAAATTAAAGTTGGTTTACCCTAGTTTGATCCTGTCAAAGACAATATTTCAGAGATTTGCACAAAGAATTCAAGTTTAAAAAGATAGGGAAAATGTAATTAAACATTTAGCCTTCCTTCTATATGTTTATTAGCTACTGGAATTAACCAGTTAACTAAAAGAAAACAAATTCATCAAAGTATTTTTTCCCCCTTTCAATTACTCCAGATCCTGGGAAATTATAGCTCCATCAGTCTTTCAGATGCAAAGAGTTCCAAGGCAAAAAGAAACCTGATTTCAGTAGGAAGAAAAAAAACACACCTCAAACAGCAGACAGAAAAAAACCCAGAACCCTGCTTGGAAAAAACTACCCTTCATGTCATCTTTGCATTATTTAGCAAAACAAGGAGGCTGTGACTACACCACTTTTTCAACACAAGCCACTGAAAATGTGTAAAATATATTCTCCAGTTTCAGCTGAAGTAAGCCCTTAAAAAAACTTGCAACTTGTTAGCACAAGCACCCAGCCAACTTCCTGCCAAAACATCTTTGGATGCAGTACCCCCTTTACACTTCCCATTTGTTCCCTTGTAAGGGAAAGGAACCCTAAACTCAAAAGAAATTCAGCAGTGAATATTGCAGCAAACTGGAATAAATGAATCCTGAGGTATCACACCACCTGTACACACACATCCTCACAGGCTGAGCTGATTCCTGGGGGAGCTAACAGAGCTGCCCAAAGTGCATTTTGGATTTTATACATTTAAACAGTTTGCTTTAAGAAGCAACAGTGTGGACAGAAACATCATCTTGCTGCAAAGCAAAGCATGGGCTAACAGCCAAGTGCACTGCTGTCCAGGGCTGAGCTGTGCACTGACATTTCAGGGACGGAGAAGAATCATTTCCATCTGATTCTGAGCAGACATTAAGACTTCTGCTCAACTTGACAACCAGCAGTGTGCCCAGGCTGAATGCTGCACAAGACTACACCATGCACCAAAGCTCAGCTTTCACTTTGGGAATTTAGGTATCACAATCACTTTCAAGCTGTTCTTAGAAATCGATCCAATGGTTACATGCTGATGTAGGATGTTAAGTCCCATTCTCAGACCTCATGAGTTCAACCAGCAGGTGGGCTGAAGCAGGCACCTCAGGGCTTTGCAACAGCACCAACATTTCTACAATTATCTCACACGTTTCAATACTGTCAACAAAGCCTGAAGAGATGTCACTTGTGCGAGCTCTGCACCTGCTCACCTGGTGTGGCAGCAGTAGTACTCGGCGTTGCAGCAGTGCTGGTCTGGGTGGTGGGAACACTGCTGTTTGTGGGCACTCCACTTGGCACAGCAGGTGCTGGGGGCACGGGGCTGGCTGAGGAGGGGGGATGGACCACAGGGTCATCTGGCTGACCAGGTGTCTCCGTCTTGCCTGTGGCTGCCAAGCCCTGTGATACAGGACTGGAGAATGTAGCGAGCACTGATGGTTCTGGTGCAGATGTCCCTGGGTGGGTCTGTAAGGGAAAAGTTGTCTTAGCTTGAACACTGAATGTCAGCGTTGTTCTGTTGAGTTGCACTCCACCTCCTCCAGTCAGGGAGGCTGCAAAGTCCCTGGTTTGTTTTTCCCAGAAGCAGGATGTTTTACTGCTTCCTTTTCTGATTTGCCTCTTCACCTTTTCCCTCCACAGCAGACAGGCCATTTCTAGCTCAGCTGAACACCAGTTAAGACCATAGATTTAACTACAGCATCTTAAATATTGTGGCCGTTGATGTGACAAACGTGACAGAAGATCTAGGTTCAAAATTGCAGTGAGTGGAGCTAAAAGGACAGAGAGGTGGGGTAAGACAGAAGCAAAAAACAGTGACCAGGAACCGGGGTTCATTTGGGTCACCTATTTTGGCCCTGTATTCCTTTTTCTACAGCTGTGCAGCTGGCAAGCACAAAACAGGAGGATTGCAATGGTGTTTTTATGTAAGATCAGCAAGAGGAAATTTCTTTCAGAATCATTCTTCAAAGCAAGGTGACCTGACACAAACAGTTCCCTGCGTGCATGTCACAGGAGATGCTGCTGGGGCAGAGAGCTGAGCTTGGGGGCAGAAAGCTTGCTCACATCCACAGAGGATGAGCCTCTTTATTGAAAATAATCAAAGTGGCAGGAACAATTTCCTCTCTTTCATGAGGAAATTCCTTTTACAGTACCCAGCCCCATTCCAGTTCTTGGCCTGCCAGGTCATCCTCTTGACAATTCACCTGCCACCACGCAGTACATGTGTGTAGCACATTTTCTTGAGCTGACTCTATTTTGAGAACATCTGCTAGATATTTAAAATTAAGCAGTTTACCATCTTTGACTGGAGAAGTGTTCTGGAGCTGAAATGCCCACTGCTACTCCCCAGCAGCACCTTCTTGCACCGATCTATAGCTTTGGGCAACTCAGGATACTGACTCCCTTTTCCCAAGTACTAAGACAAAGTCAGAAATACCAGCACAACTAGGGGGAACAGCCAGGCAGGAACCTGGACACTTGAGACAGGCTCTTTAGGAAAGGCACGGAAGCAGAAATTCTCCATGACTTCACACCACCATGGGGAACCACTTCTTAGCAAGAATCAGCCCAGAAAGGTCACTAGAACAGCTGCCACAAACAGGGCCCAGGAGAGCAACATCTGCTTACTGGGCATAGCAGCTGAATCTTTTAATGGCTAAACCAAACCCTTCACAGTTAAGAGAGAACCTTTTCCTCCCAGAAGTCTTCAGGATGAATTGATGGTCAAATGTCTGTGGAGAGCTTGAGATAAGCTTTGCCTGGGGCAACACAGCAGTCAAAAATGCCTCTAATGCTTGGAAGCTGAGATGCTCCTTATCTTTGCCCCATAACCCCAAATTCTTTAAAGCAAAGAAGCAAAGATTTCATTCTTGGGGATAAATGAGGAGGAGACAAGTTTAGCAGCTGTCTTATTTTATTAGCTTAGAAAATAAAGAGAAGTGGCACATTGGCCTGAGTGAACACAGAAGTGTCAGACACTTTTTATTCCAAACACTAACTGCCTTTGACCTGGGACAAGTCCCCTTATCTGGGATGGAACCAGAGCAGCTCCATGCATCAGGATCCACACTGAACCTGTTACTTGACAGAAAAATACCAGTGTTCTGGAATTTTCTTTTGTTTGGGCCTTACTTTGCTAAGCCGGCCTGAATTTACAAAATAGGCTCTTTTCAGTTAGATTGTGTCCTTAGTTATTTGCACCAGGTGCTATGTCTGAAGACCCTTAAGACACAAATCTGGGTAACACGACAAACCATTACAGAGTTAGTGCTGGCTCTGAAGAGAGACCTTCTTCTTTCCTGGCAGGGTAAAAAGCACCCAGCATGGCCAGGAAGCAAAGACTAGTAGCCAGAATTGTGAGTGCAGGAATGAGCTCCCTGGCTCTAACAACTCCACTTTAAAGGCTGCAGGCTTTCCCTGTCTGCCTGCAGAGCTGCTGCAGTGCTGCAGCTGCCCTTCTCAGCAGAGCTGCACTTAAATATTCCTGACAGGCTATTAAATGCACTGCTGTATTTTAAAGCTAACAAGTATCTTTACAATGAGGCAGAAAAAAAAATTGGTGCCTGGGAAATGTCACTCACTTCACGGAAAAGCAGAGATTTCTCTTCCTGAGTTAAAGGCTGATGAGCAGCAGGTCCACTCTCCTTTACCCGTGTCTGGTTCCATAGAGTGGAACCAGTAAAACCACAAATTAACCCTAGCTGCACATTAGCAATGGACACTGCAGATGGCCATGGAGCTACCAGAACTGCAAGAGGAAAATAAAAACCCAGTGAGGCAATGTTTTCCTAAAACTGCCACTTCTCCCTGAGCCTCTAGGAGTAAAGGAGAAGATTTGCCTGACACACACATTCAATGCTGACTGACAGAACATGGACACATTTATTTCTCCCCTTTTAGAGAGGAGTTAGAGTCACTTTGACCTCAAACATCCTTTCCCACTTCAGATGTTTGATGCTCCCAGGTATGACCTGCTTCACATGCAGTGATGATCCAGTATTCTCCCTTCCTTCCAGCCCAACTGCCAAACCATTTTTAAGAATCCAGTACTAAATGCAGAGCATTCAGCTGCTGAAGCCAAGTGCTCCAGGTATTCGGCCAAACCGAGCCCAGGTGAAATTCTACTGATTTCAGCACGTGTGTAACTTCACTTATTCTGGCCCATAACCAATCTAACTTGGAAAACTCTCTGCTTTAGCATCCCCCTCCTGCAAAGGCTGGCCACATCCCAAGTACACAGCCTTGAACGTAATATCCTTGGCCTAAATTAAACTGCTCTCAGGTCAGAAATGCAAGGACAGCTGCATAACTTGCCTTCTATTTGGCCAGGGAAAGCTGGATGGTTCAATAATCATGGAATTACCCTGGGGCTGGGTAGAACCAGCATTGACTTGATACTCCTGTTAAGGTGGATTTTTGAATTCTTTCTCCTCCTCAAAAACTCTCTCCTAAACCTCAAAAATGTGACTGCCAGGAATTCTACCACAACCAACATATTTGAGTAACAATTTTCTTTTATTTTGATGAACCTGCATTTTGTTGAGAGATAGAGACTTTCTTACTAGCAAAAAATAAGTAAGGAAAAGAAAACCTTTCCCCAGCATACATCCAGCAGTGCACCTTAATGACAACAGAGAGGACTGCCTGGATTCTAAGTGATATTCAGAAGCTGATTATTAATCCATGTAATTTAATTTTGCAACCAGTTTACTGGTCAGGCACTGAGCAATAACAGTACAGCTCATGAATGCAACACTGCAAACAGAACAAGCAGGGAGATATAACAACTATTCCCCAAGAGCAGGAGACATTTAAGATTGGCTGCAAAGAAATCTCCCCAGACATTGAACGTGCAACAACTGAAAGAATGGGGTCATGGTGTAAATCTCTGATGTTAGGAGGAGGAAAGACCAGGCTGAGTGGAAACGCTGCAGTACTGCAGGGGAGAGAGAAAGCTGAGATCTTCAGTCAGCCCTAAATGCTGCGGGGTTCTAGAAAATCAAACATTTGTAAAGTTCTGCCTCTGATTTCACAGGCTGCCCTGGGGCTCTCAGTGTGTCCCTTGGCTGCTCTCCACATCCTGCTCTGCAGGGTGGAGACTCAGGCCAGTCACAGCCCTACCTGGAACCAAGATTTGAATACAAGGGAGAGAAAGAAATTCCGTCAAGTTTCCAGAAGGCATTAGGCTTCAACGGTGCCAAATTCTAGAAACATGGCAAAAGGTATTTAAGGAACAGTTCACAAAGTGGAATTCTTTCTATTTCACCATCATGAGTTCATGACCTTTTCTGTATAAGACTGAAAGAGCTATCTGCAGACTTAAAAATACAAACATCACTTAACAATTCAAATGTGCCAGTTTCTCTTTAAGACCAATATCTAGATTTACAAGATTAACATTGTACATGTTTGGAGTAGAGATTGAACTGGTTTCATTCAAGCAATGTCAGTGGAAGCTTTGTGGATGTGGGAAACTGAAACAGTCTTCAAAAACAGAATTAAAAAGTTGGTGTAAGATGTCAACTCAGCAAGCAGGCCAAGATGAAGTGCACTGGAAACTGTGCATCAGTCTGTAAAATAATGTATTTAACTGCCTTGATTCAGAACTCAAAGGAAAACAGCTTATTTTATTCTGTGGATCTAAAAGGTACTTTTACAGGTAACAGTTTTCAGCTCGCAGGCACTTCCCAGTGATGTCACATCTTGCCTTTCTTGCTCATCTGGCAAACCTGTGTGTCAGTACACACAGGATAAGCATTATCACAACCTCCATCTCCCCTCACCTTCCCAAGACAGTTATATCCCAGTTAGGAAGAGGCAGAGGGGGAAACCTATCCCCAACAAACCAAACAACCCAAGCCTTGGCCTTGCCTTTTTGACAGGAGACTGAACAGACATCCCAAAAGGTATCCTAGCACTCTGGCAGTTTGAAGTCAAAGCCTGGCTAAAGCAGGAGGGTGACAGCTGTCCAAGGCTGCCCCATTCCAGCCCCAGCAGCCACACTTACCTGCAGCAAGCCAGCAGCCTCTGCATCACTTGGTCTAGTCACATTATTGCTTTTAGGAGGAAACGGGCTTTTGGCTTTCTGCTCTCCTGGATTCTGTCCCTTGGTCAGAGAGTCTTTGTGTTCATCTGGATGTCCTTCAGGGACAGGCCTGTCTGCCACCAAGCGCCTCAGCACTTGATCCTTCAAGTGCTCTGCTTCACTTTGGCTGCTTCCAGACCTGCTGTCTGCTGCTGTGGCTGCAGCCTGGCTGCTGGGGCTCGCTGCCACATCCCTCCTCAGGAGCTCCACCCTGGCCCCTGCCAAGCTCCGCTTCTGGATCGACCTCTGCAGTCTGCTTTTCACCAGGACAGGGATGTCCCAGTCCAACCACTTGTGATGCCAGGTCTTCACACCACCTTCTGCTGGAAACTTTAAGAAGTGCTGTGTGCTTTTTGATTTCTTAAGAAACACCAAAACAGAGTCAGAAAAGCCAGTCCTGTCTGCCCGACATGTGCCAGGGACAGTGCAGTTCACCTGGATGCACATATTTTCCAAGAACCAAAAGGCATCACAGGTGGGGCTGTGGCAGCAGGCAGCCTGGCAGGACCCAACAGTGTGAAATCCTTCCAGCAGCTGCAAATTGTGATCTTCCCACCACCTCAATCGGCCACCAAACAGGATCCTCTCTGGCTCACATTTAGATCTGTTCCAGTTTGCATCTGGGAAAGGGGAGAGAAGACAAATAAAGACAATTTTCAATCCTGTAAAGCCGTGGACAATAAACCTTCATCACTATTGTCAAGACTAATTTAGAGCACAGAAGCAGTATGGGAGAGAGGGCAGTAAAATGGGGCTTCTCAGGATCTGTACCTGGCCTCACTATCCATATCCAGTACTTGTACACTCCCCTGAAGTGCTTTTTTCTGTACCAGCAATTACCTGTCAAACACGTTTCTCTAGAGATCTCAGATCAGCAGCAAAGCAGCAACTGCTCCACATACAGAGTTTTTGTTTGGGTTTTTTTCTTAGCATGAAAAATGAAAGACTGCTTGCAGGGATCAATGGATTAAAGGCTTCCAAAATTCAGAGCTCGGCAGATTAAGGACTCCCTAAAAATAGACTAATGACCTATGGGACTGTTACACTGTGCTGTGCTCAGCATTCAAGGTATAACAGGACACTGGAAGATTATTTTATAAAATATGTCACTGGATTCGAAGTGGTGCAGCTGGAGAACATGCTCCAGATCTGGCTCCCTGCTGGTCAAGAATGGAGTTGTTGAACACAACATAAATGGTAAACTTTTTTCTCCACTAGAATAAAGTCTGAATTCAAACTATAATATCCTGATCCCCATTTCTTGACAGCATATAAGGAAAGGTATAAAGAAAATATTACTATTCCAGTGAATGAACACAGACTTCATGTTACGTTATGCCCATATCCAACACCCTCAGGTGCAGGAGGAAGGGAAAAGTCAGAGCACTTTTATAACCTTGTATGACCAAATAAAGCAAATGAGGGAAGAGAGGGGACATATTTCCTTGTAATCCAGTTATCCCAAACACCATAGCAGGTATAACTGCTTTGCTGCTCATCATTATTAAAAGTATCAGCATACAGTGATTTTCTCACCCAGAGTGGATTAGCCACCTGTTTAAAACAAAGGACAATGGTCACATTTACACACCTTCAGTGTGAAAACTCCTGTGGAATTTGAACCCAAAAAGGGAACTCGTACCACCATGAGGAAAAGTTTGGCTTCGAAACATCAGAAAGCAGGAAGGTGTTATTTATAGCTTGCTGTGAAGCCAGCTCAGCAAAGGCAATCTGAAGACAAGGCTTCAGAAAGTCACTGGCAGCTGCAGCAGAACACACTTGAGATCTGTGATCAAAACACAGGGAACCAGAGATCCCAGTGGGTGTCACCTGCACAGTGGCTGTGCTTGGTCACTTCTTAATATTGTTTTCATCATTTTTTTCTTCTCTTGTACACCAGTACAAAACCCACTGCTCTTCTCAGGAGCTCTGGAGCTCCTGTTCCAGCCAAGGATCTCACAGCTTTGCTGAACAGCAGGGGAATGGAATGGACAAAAACAGTTTCTATTAATAAGCTCAAGTTCACAGACTTGCTCAGGCAGTTAATCCTTCCTGATATCAGATTAATGATTAAGGACTTGACTCTGTGGACTTTTTAATCTGTCACACGTGACCAATTATGTCAACACAGTTTGTCTTACGCAACTCCCCATGATCACACTAATTTCTAGGCAGCCATAATTCCTCTTCAGTTTAACAAACTCTGCTGCCTGAGCGACACAAACAAGACCAAAAGAACAAGAACCCTGGAGTGGAAAAAGTTCCCATATCAAGATAACCATGTCACATGTAACAATACTTGTTTCCACACACACATCAGCCTTCCTGGCTGTTCTCCCAGGGAGATCAGCCCTCAGACACAGCAGCACTGCCCAGAACACCCCCCAGTGACACAGGATTCACATCTCTAGCTCCAAACTCCTCAAATATTCCTAAAGACAAAGGTCAAGGAGGAAGACCAGCCTACAAGGAAACACACAATCTCCCTGACACATCAGCCTAACACACAGGACTGAGGACCCTCTGCTAGGACACAAAGATGTCTTCCCAGGTTCTAAAGTAGCTGATTACCTTCATGCAGCTCATTAGTTTAATCAAATCTGTCACTTGCTAAATGTCCAGAAAGGCCAGTGAAACACCAGAGACACTGCAGTAGCCTAGGGAACATGGCCACATAACTCAGAAACAAAACAAAACAACCCCCTTTGCAAACCTTGCTACTATAAAGATGGCAGAGAGGAAGCAGCTGGCAGCTGTCACACAGGTTGGTACACACCAAGGTCACCCCACTGCCTCAAACCTGGTACTCACTGCAACTTCAGCCAAGAGGGGAAAAAAGGCACAGAACAAACTTTCTTAATTAGGATCTGGTGAATGCCACATGGGAAAAATACCACCCCTTGGTGAAGACATGGCCTCAAAACACCCACAGGAAAATAATGTGTCTCTCTCGAGTCAGAATCTGAACTTTTAAAATAAATTTTAAAACCCCCACACAGTTCATTAGGTGAAAACTTCCACACAAGCCCCTAACTCGGCTATTTACTTAAGCAGGAGGTTGGTTACTCAAGTCTGAATAGGAAATAACCCAAACGACTACCTGTAGGCAAATACAGACTATTGACATATTGTGTTTGAGAACAGTCTTAAACATCTGAGGGCTAAAAAAACGTTCCTGCCTCTTCAACCTGCTTCAGGTATTCCTTAGCTGGAATTATATTCCAGAGTATCACTTGCTCATTTTGCAGGAGAAAAGACAGACAGACACCCAACTGCTGACCACCTGCTGACTCAAAATAGCAGCTGCTTATCAGAACAACACAGAGTTAGGAGAAGGGACCCCTTGTGCCCCATCTCTCTCCTACCCGTTTGACAACTCATTTAGTATTTCTTACAGGGGGGGGCTTAATTTATTTTTTAGACTAGTGACAGTGTCTAGCAGCAAACAATTTCACCTTCTCAGGATATTTTAAACAAGTGAGAGGGACAGACAGCATTAAAAATACAGACACAGTGCCAAAGAAAAGAAAGAATCACCTGCTGAGGAGCACAAGGCACACAGGGAAGCCCACAGGTACAACAGCTGCAGACTTCTCAGCTCCCCTGCGGGTCTTCCCAGGCAGGATCGTGACAGGAGTTGGGCAGTAGTGCTGAACTTGGCTTCCAACCTCTTCTCCATGGCCTTTGTGGGCAGCAGCAGGGTTCTACAAACACACAAGACATGAAACACAAAGCACCCACTGGCAGTGAGTATCTTCTTGCACAGATTCAGCTGGCATTGTGAGGAGCAGGGAGTGCCTGCAGAGGAAAAGGGATCTCTTATCGGCTGTGACTTAGTCCAGCTGCTGCTGCTGTGACTGCACCACCCTGAGATGAAATCCACAGCAGTTCCCAGGGTTGAAGTCCAGAGGGTCACATCACCCCTGTGATCTCCTCCTCCACCACCTTCAGTGGCAAAATCTCCAATATTGCAGTCTGCTGGTTCCAAAGATGCGTTTAGGGCATTTCAAACATGTCCCAGGGCAGGGACACCAGGCAGTGCCTGACACGGGCACTGCCCACCCCCACATTCACCACTTGCATGTTGGTGCCAGCTGGTGCCAGCCAGGGACAGAGACAAGGGGACAGAGACACGGAGAGACACGGAGCTGGAGCCTCCTGGGCCTCGTCCTTTGCCCCGTGGGGTGCAGCTCATGAAAGCACTGACACTCCTTCTTAGCCTGATGCCAAAGGCTCTTTTACAGCCTCATGTGTCACCAAAATCTAAATCAGCTCCAAACGACCCGACATAAAAGCATTTATTACACATGTAATAATTAATATCTATTTCTAAAAAGCACCGTTAGGCACGAGGAGTTACATCTGCCATTTCCAAATACCCAAGAGGAAGCAATTTTCGGAGCTCTCCCAGGACATCCC